TGAGCTAAGTTCACCAAATTTTCACAAACGATTTATTGTAGTAAGTGCCAGAACCCTATTTAAATTGGACATGATCGGGTTACCGGTTCGGGCAGCTGGCATACAACTTCAAAATTTATTTGGCTATATCTCAGAAACTATAAAATCTGTGGTATTGAAATTTCACACAAACGAATATATTAGTAGGGCCAATGTGTCTGATGAAAGTCGTTGAAATTACTTGGCTCCTTCTGGTACCTGCCATACAACTTCAAAAGTTATTTGATTATATCTCAGAAACTATAAAAGCTATGGTATTGAAATTTCACACAAGCGAATATATTAGTAGGGCCGATGTGCTTGATGAAATTCGTTAAAATTTCTTGCCTTTTTCTGGTAGCTGCCATACAACTTAAATAGTAGTTTGGCACACACAGTATTTTGAAAAACAAACAGTACTGAAATTTTGCATAAATTAATATGGTAATACGGCAACTTAAATTCATAGTCTGTCCAATAGTCAGTTATGGCATCTTTATTTGTACATAAGATAATAAATTCGTACGGGTATCACAGAGTTGACAAGGTCAACTCTCTTTTTTTCTCGTTTAAAATTAAAAATTTAAAATTAAGCATTTGATAGGTTTATGATTAATTTCTTGGATACCATAATTAATAAAATTGATGAGTTACTGAAATTGTTTAAAATTCTGGAAATTATTTTATAAAATCAAACGAATGAAATAGTTTTTTTAGCCATTTTCTTATAACAAACACCATTCCAAAAGGAAATAATTCAGAAAATCACTAAACTAAATTCATTTAAATTTTCAAATATCAAATAACTATATACATATTGTGTATATATATAATTGATTGTGTTAAGCACTTAGTGGTGAATCAACTACTTGATATAATTAAATTTTGTAGAAATAATATTATATTTTAGAATAGAAAGAATATACAAGAGAATTCATTCAAATGTTTCTTTTTAAAATTAAATAAAAGCTCTTATCAAATACAATAAATAATATTATACAATAAGAATAAAAAAGAAAACGAATTAATATTAGAAATTGTACCGCCGTAATCCTTTAAAAAGATATTTAACAATAAAGTCATTACAACAATAGCAATACATACATATATAGAAATATTCAAGAGGAAAAATGTAAACAATGTAGAGTACAACCATTTATTTACTTTTCAACCCTCTCGAAATTCAATCTTTTATATTTTCTTTTCCTAAATCTATTTCCTATATTCCATTATATTCAATTTTGTATAAAAGAATTTCTATAAAATTTAAAAAAAAAAAAATTCTAATTTTTTCTGTACTGTACCTAGTCTAATAATTTTACTTTTTTCAATTTACACGATACTATGGGCCTGATCGTCTATTTCGCTATTTTACTCGGAAGGTGAGAAGAAAGTGATACTTGTATAATGCAATTATCGAGTGAGCAGAATTATTTGGTATTGCGTATCTCGTTTTTTTTTTCCAAAATTCATACAATATTTGTTCACTTTGTTTTTGAAAGTGAGATACGTTCAGTCGATAATTTGAGAAAAAATGCAAAAATCCAATTTTAAAAATTGAGTAATCTTATTAGAAAATTGAAGCATCCGTTAGAAAATACTGAGAATTCTAAAATGAATAAAAAGTGAGTTAAAAAGCGAGATACACAATCAGGCTGTAATTTTAAGCCTTATATAGAGCAAATTTCAAGTAAATTTGAAAATTTGTATAAAATAAAACTGTACGATAATAGTGTACTTTTTCCGAATTATAAAAAACTATTAAACTTTCAGAATATTAAAATATGCAATTCTAATTGGCACAAAATTCCTACTTCATTGTTAACTATAAAGCAAACTTAGGGATTAAAATCTATTGATAAATTAATTTTTTAAATATTTACACACAACTAGATTGGATTTGCAAAAAATCAAAGGATTATTACATTAGCTTCAAAAATATATTTTATAAATTTATACAAATTTATGTGTATATGTATAATTCATGTTAGGCATTCATAATTAATTTAATTGAATATTAAAAATATTTTAAAGGTTCTTTTGTATAAAAAATTTAATACCGATTTTGCATTTAGTACAATATTTTTTTAGCTTTTTTTTATTCAGTAATTTTTAAAGCGCTTTAAGTAATTTGCATTTATCCATTATCATATTATGAAATTCTAAATTTTTTTAATGTGGACACAAATAATACATAAATTTACATAATTGATTCGGATTATTTAAAATGTAATTTACGGTATATAAATAACATAAACAAACTAAACACAAAAGAGCAAAAATTAGAGAAAAATATGGTGATAGTTTAATATGTAAATATAAATTAAAAAAAAAAAAAAGATGTTACCGAGTTGTCAGAATATTGTTATAGTAACATTTACTACCCATCTCAGAAAGCAATCGGATTAGTACAGTTTTAGTCCGTAGAGGGCAAGTAGAATAAAAATTTCAACATCTTTAAATTTGTCAAATTAGGTAGGTATTAAAAAATCTATGTGGCAGATAGAAGTTACGAGTAAAATTTTAAGAGTGCCGATCTGAACTTCATGTTTTAACTGTTTTTTTTTTTTTAATTTTTCAAGTAAATTTTGACAATTAAGTATCGTTTATCAAATGTAAAAGCAATTTAAAAAGTGTAATTATAATTTAAAAAGTTCTTATTCTTGCATGCTATAAATAACTACATACTCGTATATATAAATAAAATACATACCTTTTAATTTAGACCTTTGCCTCCAAAAAATTCGTAGTTTTTATTTCTGGAAAACCATGTGAACTGAAAACTGTAATTTTTATTCACACCGCCATTCTTACCCTTCAAGAAAAATACAAAATAATAATTTTAATACAATATATAGTGACATAAAATTAAATAACACAAAATATTAATTTTGTAGTTATTCAAATGAGGAAAATAATGGTACAAAATATAAAATAATTTTACATTTAAGAAATAATAAATTTTACTTAATATAAAAATTTTAAATAAAACTAAAATAACAAACAGAATTTTAAATTTGACTTATAAAATAAAAAATTAATAATTTAAATAAACATCAGCAACAATTAAATTGTAAATTAATATTCTTTGATATTGTTAATTTCTACAAAATGTTAAATTTGATTACAAATTTAAAATATTTTTGCTCCTTTTACATATTTAAAGTGTGATTGGAAACATCTGTGCGAAATTTTGTATTATTATATGAGTTGTATGGCAGCTACCCGAACCCGTTGTCCGAATCAGTCAAATTGCAATACCAGCTGTCCTTGGCAGAAAGAAAACAACTTGTGAAAGCGTTAGATCGGACGGACGGACTTGGCTAAATCAACGAAGAATTTTATGCTGAGCAAGAATATAAATACATGTCCATAATAGAGACGACTTCTTCAATTTGTTACAAACTCCATACGTCTTTAATACCGCGCTTAAACAAGCTTTAATTTGCATCAATTATGTAGTTAAGTTTAATTGATCAAGACAGTCTTCCAACGCAACATCATGAATTGCAAAAAATATATTAAACATAGCATTCCAATATTGGAATTTCTAGGGAAGAAGTTACGAAAGATTTAAAATATTACAGACGCCAAGTTGATAATATCCCTAACTTCCCAGCGGTATATAATTGCAGAGTAAATAGGGGAGGTGGTACTGCAATTTTTGCAAAAAAATGGCATTCCTATCAATGTAATTTGTAAAGAGAAATATAGTTATACGCAATTAGAAATATTTAGAAAATAATTTAATATTAAGAAAATAAACTAACAAATACTTCAGACCATTTATTTTTTACTGATAGCAACTTGAATTTGTTTGAAAATAATAATATATTTGTGAGATATAAAGATATGATAACTACTGCGGGATATCACATGGTAAAGAAAATTGAAAGTACAAGAGTAGCACAACAAACAAAACAAAAAAAAAATTAAAAATTTGATCATATAGTTACAAATATTAATTATAATTTCAATATTAGTTACAAAATAGAAGATAATAATTTCATCATCAGTTAGCTACAGTTGCTATAAAATGCGAGATGCCTAAAAAGTTACCTATGAAAACGCGGGTAATACACAGAACAGGTTATGATCGTCTACGTCATATTATAAAAGAGAAAATAGGTGGGATAACGGTACCAAAATCAATGTTTTAATAAAAATTATTCAAGAAGCAAAAGAAATGTGCACAGGAACATTCCGTTTTAGAGCTAGAATCACAACATGGATAAGCCAGCTCTTACTAGAAAAATTTAAATATAGAAAATCATTGTATGATGAGCATAAAAGAGAACCGAACAACTATGAAAAAGACTAAGATATGTTGAAGCTAAAAAGAAGATAGAAAAGTTAATAAAGGAAGCTTAAAGTTAACAATTAAGTTTAGGGATAGAAAAAGCAGAAAACGACTCTAGAAAACGATGGAAAACCTTGATTGCTACAATAAGTAATAAGAATTATCTAGAAATAAGTATCTGAACAACCAACATTTGTAATGAAAGAAACTGGGGAAAGAAAAAATACGGATTACGAGACCCGAGAAACTATGAACAAGTTTTTCAATGAGATAGGAGAAAAAATTCTGAAAGGGATTCAAAAATCCTCAGTGGAAGATGATATAATCTATAAGATACATAGTAACAAAACAATATTCCTTACACAAGTTACAGGAACAGCAACTTACAATATTATAATAAACCTTAATAAAGCGAATTTCTGAAGCAATTGAAAAAGGCATGCTTGATTCCAATTTATGAAGCTGGCTTAAAAGAGGAATGCAGGAATTATAGGCCAATCTCAATTATAAAATCAATATCAAAAAATATATGGAAAAGCATTCAGCGTAAGAATTAGAAATTTCATAAAGCAAACAATAGATTTTGATAAGAATCAATATGGTTTTTTTGAAAAATAATGGTACAAAATCGGCTATTGCAGCTACGTTATAACAAATATATGATGCATTGGAAGAGGGGCAGATGTCCGGAGCCGTATTCGTTAACTTAAAAAAGGCTTTTGATGTAGTTAATCATCCAAGACATTGTGATCTGATAAAAAACATGGGAATAAGAGGTATTTCAAATGTTCTGCTACAAATAATTTAACAAATAGAACCCAATGTGTTAAGATTTAGGACGTACTTAGAGATAAAGTAACTATAAGAACAAGTGTTCCACAATGCTTTATATTAAGTCCAGTTTTGTACTTGCCATATTATGAACATACCAAAAACAAAGTTGATATCAAACTCTAACATTTATGCGGATGACACAAATTTGATTGCAAAAGGCACATCATTTGTAGAATTAGAATATATATTAAATAAAGATCTGGCAACCTTGGGTGACTAGAAAAGCTGCTGGCCAGATTACAATGAATGGTGTGTCAATACAAAAAAACCAATTATATAATATTCAAAACTTCTAAAAAAGCTTTAGATTTACAAAATGTAGATAAGGTTAAGTACTTAAGAATGATAATTGACGAAAATCTGAGATGGGACTACCAGATAAAAATCCTGAAGCAAACGCTCATCCCTATAAAATGTTCTAGCGGTATTTAAAGATCCTACTCTTAAAACTAATAAAGTCTTTATTAAAAAAAAAAAAAGAAACAGTTAGGAAACGCTTATATATTGGTAAATGGTAGGTTATTCTTAAGACAAGTGACTCACACACAAATTCAGTGAAATCGCTCTGTGTCTTCTAGTTTTTCACGAAGTGAAAACGTAACTTACCATGAAGACGATTTTCTCTGTGCAATTTTAAAGCAATAAAAAATATCAAAGTAAAATAATTTTCAAAACTTGAAAAGCCTAGAAATATAATAAAATTAATAATGGCAATAAAATAATTAATAAAAGAAAAAACTACAAATCTACAACAATAAAAACAATTATAATCTTACTACCAACTTTTTTCATTGAAATTGTGAAGAGTTCCAAAAACGTCAGCAGCAAACGTCACTATTAACCAATTCATCTCAAACATCCATGAACAGCTGAAAAAAAACGTGAAAAAGTAAAAAAATTTATTAATACTATTTTCTCAAATGTAATCAAATAATTTTAAACCTGTACAAATGTATGTTCGAAGAGTATTAGTGATATTTCCTACCCCGTTTGTAAGACAAGGAATTAAAGGTCAGAGTTAGCATAGAACTTATAAGAAGCTAACATGAGTATCTAGACTTGCATAGCCTTAATCAAATCCTGCATATAATTGAGGTTATACAAAACTCAAATTTCGGATAAACAAATTTGATTCTGAACATGAAAGCGTAAAAGCTAGGTCGTCATATTTTTTATCATTTTTAACATAACAAAGCATTTTAAGTGTCCATTTAATTTCGATTTGAAGATAATTCATGTATATCTCACAAGAATTATATGATGAATCCTAATGATAGTAATTTTTCATGTCTGTAACTTGATATTAGTCAAGCGCCATTGAGCATAAAGCAAGAAACATACATGATAAAAATTTAACAAGGTACATTGATTATATTAAGGTACATTCTTTTAGCATATGGTCGGTTAATTTTTTTTTTTTGGTTTCAAAGATTACTGAAGATATTTTCCAAGGAAGCATTAATAAAATATATACAATAGACCACCAAGAATCAAGAATATCCGATGAATCCTGCAAAAAATGAAGTCGTACGCTGCGCACAGACTCCTGCCCCAAATATTTTATATAATTCAATGTAGTATTATAACTGTAAACAAAAATTGGTTCTACAGTAAAGTTTGACTTCTCTTTTACAATTCACCGATTTTTTCCCACATAAAAGTAATCAGAAATTAAATTTCAAAATATTGAAAAAAGAATATAAAAATGGTCGATTTATTTACTTTGTATGTTATTCACACATACAATGAAAACCAAAACAATTTTAATATTCAGTTTTTTTTTTGTGTAAAAAAAAGAAATTATTTTAGTTTATGTTTAACAAACTTTTTAACATTTCCAACAACTGAAAAAATTAAAAATTACTTCACGTTAAGGGAAAAATTTTTTGTGTCTGAAAAAACAAAACATTCCACCTTTATTTGTCAAGGGGATATACAAAGAAGCATATGAATTCCATTTTCATGCTTTTCCGAAACAAAGAATTAAAGATCAGATAAAGTTGAAAATAAAAAAAAAAATATTAAAATTATAACCCGATTATAAAGAATAAAAAAAAAACTTTTTCATAAACCAAATTTTTGCGCTCCCAAAAAAAGAAAAAATTTTTTCATTTTCTTTTGTTTTCCAGCTTATGCAAATGAGTTAAAAATTCTTCATTTTTTGTACACCTCTATGAAGGTGGTATATGCTTTATAGTTTAAATTTAAAATTCGAAATTGCTTTGAAAAGAAATATTTACTTCTTATTTAAATTAAGCGAGTCATAGAGTGATTCAAGCAAACAAATCCTTTAAATTAAAAAAAAAATCTTTAATAGATCAATGACCGCGATCGTGTGTTCTATACTCCGTACCTTGTAAGTGTATAATTTTTCGTATACCGTAAAATTCACCCGATCCCTATGAAAATTCGCTTGCTTCCTATACAATTTACCTATCCTGTTAATTTTGAGAATTTTTAGTAATGAAAAGATCTTAAGGTTTTTAGAAATTCAATTTATTTTTTTTTAAACTCTTTATATCGGAACCTTTCGAATTCTCTATTTTCGACCAGAGTATCTTATTTTTTAGAAATAACTTGCATCTTTCTCTTTTAGTTCTACTTTGTAGTAGAGATTTTTAGAAAATAAATGAAAATTTATACAGAAATATTGTAGTAATTTAATAATAAACACACGTGTGCTACCTTTATAACGATATCTAGATAATAATAATACTCGTATTAGATTATTGTAGTATAACTTTTCAAATAAAAAATAACTTACACCAAAACTACGCCCAATTACTTCCTCTTTTAATGATTTTACGGTATTAACATAAAAAAAACCGTACAGAAAAATTTTTACATAATATATTAAATTGAACGTGTTTGCAAATTTATGAAAATAACTCAGTCCTTTTCATACAATGGACCTTAATTTAACAAAATATACATAGCAATTTTGGGTAAAAGCCAAAACTAACAAAAATTTTATTAAAAACAAAATACATATATGTATATTTTTTTTCATTATTGGAACTTTTATAGCACGTGCAACATACCTTTTATGACATAAAACTACATAAATATATGCTTGATTAAAAATTTATGCACACGAATTAAAAGGTAAAAGGATACTAAGGTGAAAAAAAAAAAACAGAAACTAAATAGTTGATACTGGGCTCCTAAAGCCCCTTAAATGGTCATTGGTGTAGAAAATCTTAAAATCTCAGATTACGTAATATTGTTTTGCGCACTTTCACAAAAGTAATTTAAGAACATATTTGCTATTATTTTAAATTAAATTATTTATAAAACGATATGTACATGTATATGTAAAAGAAAGTGTGATAAAAGTGTGACACAAGTGTTATGAGCAATTAATATAAAACTACAATAAAATTTCTCATATTTCAAAGTGATGTCTTAAGATATTTTTTCATAAATAAATCTGTTCGTACTCAATTTTTAGATTATAACATTCAGACTTCTCTTATAAATTGTAATTTATATGTATATATGTATGTATATATATATGACCATAATATATGTATGCATATACACAATAGTGTTATTGAAAAACATATCCATACTTATAATTGTACAAAATTGAACTGGTGTACAATTTAGAATTTATATTCAACTCATAAGCTGAGTTGTATATTAAAACCGTACTATACAGCAATTTTGAAATCATATGGGATTCTCTAATTCATATGAAATAGAGAATCCCATTTAGAGTATCATATGAAATCATATGATACTCTAAAATTGTAGTTAAAATTGCGATACTCTAAAATTGTTGGCAGAAATATATACCAAATATAAGTATAAGCACATGTTTATTTTCGCCTTAGTTTCCGACCAAAAGTTAAATTATTTTAAGAAATTAAATCTACATTTTATTATTATAATTTTAAATATCTTGTGTCTAATATGACCTGAAAAATAACTTTCTAATTTAAAAAAAAAAAGATTTTCATTTCACGAAATCGAAATTTAAATAATAATGATTTATATTTGTTATACTATAAAGAATAACTAGGCTATTTATTTGAAAATAGTATTTTAATTAGCTACATTAATAATCAGTTTAAAAGAAAGCAATGCATTCTAATTTACATATAAATTGAAACTGTTATAATATATTGTACTCATTATTGTTAATTGAGGCACATGCTTTTTTAGTCAAATTTTAAGAACTAGTATAAAAGAACATTGCTTTTTTATGAAAAATTCATATGCTTTTTGAGAGATCGATAAAGTGCAGTCCCGATATTAGAACGGAAAAAAATGCAAATAAGCTATTTTAACATTTTGCAAATAAATTAATTACAAAATATTAAAAAATGTACGGAATCAAATTTGTGATTGCCTTACTGACGCTTTCAAATTTAGCAAATGAATACTGTAAGTATAAAAATAAATTATATTATCCGAATAACAAAAGTTTTGTAAACCTTTTTTTAGATTTTCATTAAGTTTATTAAGTGAATTTTGCAAACAATTTTGGAATACATATTTCACTCTAATTTGGATTAATATTTTTTAACAAGCGTATGTGAAAAGTGAAATAGGTTTAGTTACAAACATTACAACTTTGTTGTATTTAATTAATATTAAAACAACATTCCTCAAAACTGTAATAACTTTTTGGGCCTTGAAGTATAGAAATTTTCATTGTGAATTTAAGTAAACGTTTACTTGCTCAATAAAAATCATTTCATTTTTAATTAATTAAATTAGCCGCCTGCCTACATTGTAAATCCTAACTATAAATTTTCATTTTTTTTTCTATAGATGCTCGTGAAAATTGTACAGCTAGTATTTATGGAGAAACAAGAGATCAGGATGTATGGCCAGTACAATGTGTAACTGGAAATTATCAATCTCCAATTGATATTCCACCAAAGGTATATATTGGAAAAAATCAAAAATAATAAAAAAATAACGTAAAAATCACTTAAGTTAATTGTAATTATAACATCATATTATCGATATTAAAGGTCAGATCGACTTCTGCAGTAATAACGTATCATAAATTTGATCAAAAATTAGAAGAAGTGACATTAGTACATCAAGATTACCTCCGTAAATACAACATCAATCATTCAATGTAAAATGAATATTTAATTGTTTGTATTATTTTGTAGTTCAAGGATATTTTCCGAAATATGTAAAAAATCGTCCTCCACCCTATATTTCATATAAAGGTAAACAACTTCCAATACAACAATTTGATTTACATTGGGGTTCATCTGAACATTCAGTTGGTGGTAAATTTTATGATGGTGAAATTCATTTATATGGCAAAGATTCTAATAAACGCGTCCATGTTATTCTTACTGCCTTCCTTAAGGTATTAAAACTATAACTATATAGTGAATTGAATATAGTTAATTCACATATAAGCTCTACGAATAGCATTATATTTAAAATAAAAATATAATTAACTTTTATTTTTAGAAAGCTGATAATGTTAATAACACGCTCACTAGAGTTATTAAACTAGCTGACGAAATTAAACAACCAGATCAACGTGTCACAGGTCATTTTCCAGAAGCAGAAGATTTTTATTCTTTCCTTGAAGTTGAAGACAAAGAGGCATATTTTTATTACGAAGGTAGTTTTAGTTTTTTATGTTGTGTTTTTTTTTTGTTGCAACTATGTAATATGTGATTCAATATTTTATAGAGGGTTCCCGAACTTATCCAGATTGTAGACCAAACATTGCATATATAATATATAATGGTTACATTGAAGTTGAAAGTCAAGCGGTAAATTTTCATTAATTTTATTTTAATATTTTATTAAATTTGATTTTAATCGAAATTATAATTTTATATTGAATTATTTTAGATGGAAAATTTAAAAAATCTTAAAGATAGCAAAGGCAGATTGCTAACTTGTACCTATAGAAGTATTCAGCCATTGAACGGCAGAACCGTTAGAAAGAAATATCCAGGACATTGAAATAAAAATTTTGCCTTATATGTTTTAGAAAATATGTGTGATTATATAAATAAATATCAATACCTTAACATAATTATTTTCTTAAAATATGTTCATTTATTCTTTTAGGTAAATATTTCTTATATTTATTAATTATTTTCTATTAAAATATAATATTCTCAAAAAAGAAAATTCTAGCACAATTAATAAGCAGAGATGATTATTAAAAGAGTTGAAAATTTTGTTTCGTAATGTAAATCGTACAAATTTACAATACTACAAACACAAAATTATAGTTTGTGTAGGCAAGTAGAATGAAAGCATGAACATATTATACTATGTATGTACAAACAGTAGCACAAAATATTTCGTTCTGATTGGAGTTGTTAGGAAAACAACATTTTTACTTGTTGAGGACATTCTGTGATTCTCTTTATTTTAGCTTCAAGGTTTTTCTATAAGAAAACATATACGACTAGCTATATTCATATATTATTGTACATTCATGAATGAAGCGTACATAATGTCAACCATTGAAGCAACAATCGTCAAAAAATATTTTCGAAAAATATTTTAAATAGAATTTTATTGAAGTAAATATGAAAAGAAAAAATAATTTTTGATTAATAATGAAACAATAATTATGCAAATAACAATCATTGAATTCAAATTAAACTTGAGACAAAAGTAAAATGTAAAAGAATTCTCAATAAACTTAAAGATTTTTGAACTCTAAGTAGATGTAAAAAAAAAGAAAACTCTTATTTGAAATACAAAATTTGTAAAAGTATAAATTTAAATTTTATCAAAAAAAAAAATTATGAATTTTTTAAAAGTACATTGCTTTCATTTCCGAATATAACGAGTAATCATAATATTTTGTTTTATCATACACACTCATACATACAAAAAATAAAATATTTTACAGTTCACCTGTTGAACGTCAATGATTTTTACTTGAAAAAATATTTTAAAACAAAATAATAATAACCAAAACAAAAAATATTTAAATCTGTTCACAATTCACAAACATAATTATTCACATACATACATACATACGTACTTATATACCTGTATATTAGTGTATAATATAATATACATTCCACTGTATATATACACATAGATACACATACTATATAGAAACAAAAATACCGACCATCATCATAATATTATAATTTCGCTTATCAACAAATTTCTACTTTAACATAAATATCCTTAGGTAATATACAAGTAGAAGAAACCTTCGTATACTAATATTAAATTACCCTGAAGTTGTATTTTATGAATGAATTTTTGTATCTCGAATTTTCTACTGTTTTTTTTTAACGTTTAAAATCATTGTTTTTTTGTTACTTTTAAAAAAAACAACGAAAAACCAACAACAACAAACCTTATCAAGAACATAAAGAAAAAACAAGAAATCTCATCAGAAAATTCATTTTAATATTATTTTTGCGACATAATATATAAAATGTACACACGTACACACTTATGTATACTCGTGTAGTAAAAAAAAAAAAATAAAAAAAATTTCCTTTTTATTTGTTTTAGGTACGATGAGCAGAACCTACATATATACAGGGTGGTCCCATACTAGCGCATTGAAATTATCGTGCAAATCTTTGTTAAAAAAACAAATTGTTCCACAATAAGCCTAAATCGCAACCGGTTTAGAAGGTAGGAACTGTTGAAAGCATTTTTTTTGACTACCTTTATTGGTTATAAATATTGTTCTGTTAGATACAATGCTAATTTTCGATGTGCACTAGAAATGTGGTGCAACAGAGTATTCAACAAAATTTATAGCATTCTTAGTGCAAATACCGCACCCGTTTAAAAAATTAATTTTTAAAACTTCTTAGTTTCTTTCTTAAATAATAGTATTTTTTCGAAAGACGTAATATGGCAGCTATTTCAAATTTTCCAAAATTCCGAAAATCTGACTTCTGGCCTTTAATTTTTGTAATAACACTTTTTAGCGTACCGGTTACAGTTTGCGAAATAAATGCAATAAAATTTTAGAGAACAATATATATATATATATTTTTTTTTGGAATTTAATACCTCTTAATTATTTTCTCCACCAACCACGTCTCTTTCAAAGACTCAAAGTTATAGCGAAAAAAAATTTCCTGCCTCTGTATTCCTAACCGGTTTTCGACGGAAAAATTTTTTTTTCATTACTAGCAAAAAGCTATGCACCACTATAAGGAACACCCTTTATATTTACATAAATATACATACATAAGTAGCATAATACTTGTAGTAAGATAATTTTTTGCGTAGTAAAATTTTTTTCCGTGTACATGATGTGTATAATATATAATATATATACATATTTACATAGTTAAAAGGAAGACACGAATGTAACAATATACTATTGGCACGTGGATAATTTTTAATTTACGTATACAATAAAAAAAGGGGGAGGGGAAGGGATCGAATGTTCTGATTTGAGCTTCTCGAATATCGTATTAAAAAATTAAAATTAAGTATATATACATACATAATTAAAATATTAACAAGATTACAATTGATATACCGATGTGTATATATACGGAAAAAATAGCATTTTCAACTTTTAGTTACAAAAATATTTAATTTTTTATGTTGACGCGCTTGGCTCAATTTTTTTAAAATTCACATATGCATACATATTTACTTCAAATTATTTTTTTATAGATAAAGATTCGACCAAAAATATTCATGGTATTTTGAAAATTATTAAGAAATTTTAATTGTCGTTTTCAACCTCTCATTATTCTATCGAATTATTCTATTATCACTAATGGAAATTAAAAAAAACAAATTTAATTTTTATGGCAAGTCTCTTATTTCAAACCATAACTTTTACCAAATTTTCATAAAGCGAAAGAGTGACGGTGTAAATAAATGTAATCTTAACCGTATTAGAATCTCCTTACTCTTATTACTTATCTCCTTACTACTATTTTACTATTTTACGAGTACTAATTTTCTTTAAAATTAGATTAAATATAACCTAAAAATTTCATATTCTTACAAGAGAATTTTTTTAAGGTTTTAAAATTAACTTTGTTGTACAACAAAAAATTTTATAGTTGAATGTATTCGTTAACTTATTTTAGAACTCATTGATATTCTGAAGGAATGAAGTAAAATCAACACTTATACATGAACACAATATTAATAATAATTGTAAATATAAAAATATAACTACATATATATATGTAAAATACTTTTATAGTTTTTCACTAAAAACTTTTAGTGTCAAAAAGGATTTTCAAAAGTCATAGGATTATTTTATCCTTTCCTCTTAAATTTTGTTATTTTATTGTTTATTATGTTTTTTTTTATTTTTTCTTTATAGCTGTTTATTTTATGATAAACTTTTTATAAATTTTCTCTATACAACCAAAAAATAAAAGAAAATATGTGATATGATTACTAACTTTGAAGAGAGAAATTTTGTACTATAAGAATAAAGATTTGTTAAATAGAATTTTAAACTTTGTAATCAAGTTCTTAAAAACGACAAGCAAGTTATGTATATACATCTAGATTTTGTTTCTACATACGTATATGTATATTAAATACAAATCTCTGTGGTATTCTAAATTCGGTTTTCTTATATATTTTTTCAAAATTTTTGAAACTTTTCATAACAAAAATACAAAAACAAAAGCAAAAAAGTTTCACTTCCTCTAATAATCGATTGAAAGTGTGTGTTTTTTTTAAATTCTAAATTGGGTCAAATAAAAAACAGTATAAATTTATTTTTGTATATTAATCCAGAGAGTAATAATTCGAGTAAGAGACTCAAATTCTATAAATTTTGGAATATAAGAGGGCACAGAAGCGAAAGGCCAGAGCCCACAATAAAAAATAATTTTTTTTTTTTTTTAATTGTTGCAATCGATCTTGTATATTTTCTAGAACTAATAATATTTACTTCAAGTTTCGAATTTAAAGTCTTTCAATTTAGCCATCATAAAATTTATTTTAAAATTTTTATTTATTTACCTAAAAAATTTAACATAATTAAAAATGAAAGTGGTCGATGATTGTGGCAAGAACTGACGATTGAGGTAAGAGTTGACGATTGAGGAAAGAGCCGACGATTAAGGCAAGAGCCGACGATTGAGGCAAGAGCCGATGGTTGAGGCAAGAGCCGACGATTGAGCCAAGAGTCGATTATTGACTTCGTAACACTAAATATAAAGGGTTAATAAGAATATTTTAATTTAATATTTTTTTATTTCTTCCTCTGATCCTCTTGAAATATGCCAACATCAAATAAATTACATTGTGGTAAGTGGTAAATTTGTACAAATGTGTATTTGTGATTACAATTCGAATACGTAAATAATCCCAATAAAGGTAACAGGTCTGGTAACTTTTACATTTTTGCAATACTGTGCATATTTAGTCCATGCAACGAGTACGTGCCACAAAAAAAAATTGCCACGATCATACAGAAAAATCATAAAAGATTAATAGTGTTGTTTCGGATTAATGAGTTTACGTCACCTACTTAAATATACCTACTTATATAGTGGTTATAAGTGCATTATACCACCGTGTGATTTTATTAAAAACACTTTTATTATTGCTAATATATTTTATTCAAATTCAATTATTAACTTTATTATAATTTTTGTATTACAAATTAATATTAGATGTTAAGCTTAATTATTATAAAATTAATTATTTTATATTAGAATAACTATATCTGGCACTTCACACTACACTTTTGCACTAATTAATGAGAAGGAGGAGAAGGAAGCAATATGCATTTATAAGTAAAGTTTAGGATGGTAGGGGTATTCACAGGGATCCTACGAAACCTGATTTTCCGATATTATTTTAGTTACAATAATGACCGCTACACTTATATACTCGAAAAAGCCAGCTATTATAACAAGGTCAACAAATGAAAAGAGTACGATTAGGAAAATCATACATATAGCAATATCAATTTAAAATAAAGTGTTGCTAACACAAAACTTCTAGAATTTCAAACAACTTCGTATAACAATTTAATTATAATAAAAA